TCTATCCCTCCTTTTAGGATTTTGAGCATGCATGCATATGTGCCCAGCATGTTTCTTTCTTTTTTTATTTTTTGGAGAGCTTTTTTTTTTTTCTTTCTTTTTTTATTTTTGGAGGGCTTTTTTTTTTTTTTTTTTTTTTCCTATAGGGCACATGTACTCGCTGGAGAGACAGACAGAAAGCGAGAAATCAACCCCCCCGGGGGAAGGCCATGCCGTAGTCCCTTCTCCTTCATTCTCCTCTTGGGATTTTGGGCATGGACCCACAAACATCTGACATGAGTTTTAAGCTTCTGGGTCTGAGACTTGAACATTGGTGGGACTATGTGGAAGTTCAGCAATGTAATCGCTATGCCATCTGCTGATCTCAACTGTCCAGCATGTTTTTTAAGTCTCTGGTCCTGGACTAGAACCGTGAGGTTGGCCATGTGGAACCCAGCTGCCTTGACAACTAGGCCAATGGGCCAGCCCAATTCTAAGTATTTATTTCTTTTTTTTTTTTTTCAGAGATATTTTTTGCTATAGGGTACATTGGAGAGACAGAGAGACAGAAAGCAAGAAATCACCCCCTATGGGAGATGGCCACTCTGCAATCCCTTCTCCTCCAGTCTCCTCTTGGGATTTTGGGCAAGCACGCCTGGCGTGAGTTTCAAGCCTCTGAGTCTAGGACACAAACTATGGTCGACTGTGTGGGAGCTGCCCCAAATGGGACATTAATTAAAGTTACAGAATTCCCTTTAAAGATTTTTAAAAATATATAATAGGAAATTCTTTCTGAAAGAATTTGTGAAAAATTCTGCCAGAGGCTTGTTACAGGACCCATTGTGAGGTCTTTTTCTTCTGTTTCTGTGACTTGAGATAGTGGGAGAACGAAAAGATTGTAGGTAATTATTTAGAAGGGCTTATTATAGATCCCCTGAAAGCTGAAATTATTCATTAAATAATATTCAAGGACTTTCTTATTCTGAATGTGTCAAATAGTTTATTAAAAGTCTTAGGTTGGAGTCATGCCTGTGAGCATCGCATATTTATTCTGGTTAATGACTTGGCAGAGATGACTGGGTAGTGCCCGAGTTCTTTACATGGAAGAGGAAGATGAATACGGTGGAGACTGCAAGGGCATGCAAACCTCCTTCCTCTCCCCCCTTCTCTCATGTATTAGGAGGGGAAGCAAAATCATAGATAGTCTCTGACCTGGAGAAATTTAACATATAGTAGAGAAGAGAGACGTTCTATATAACCACAGAAAAAACTTCCTATTTGCAGAAGATACTACCATGAAAGAATGGAGTAAAGTACTCTCATAGCACAAAATGGAGAGAACTTTGACCTGGCCTAACAGATGTCCAGAAAGCTTCTTAAGGAAGAATTATGTCATTGAGAAATAGAGGTCAAGTATTAGTTCTAGGCATAAAGACACTATATGCAGAGGTCACGTGGTGGCAGTGAACATGCGCTTTAAGAACGGACCAGGAAGAACCAGCAGTTGGTGTAATGGCTATGTTGTAGACTCCCATATAGTCGAGCACAGTTCAAATCATGGACCCGTGGCTTAAACTCACGTGGGGCGTGTGCGTGCGTGCCCAAGACCCCGAGAGGAGAATGGAGGAGAAGGGATTGCAGCGTGGGTATCCCGCCTGGGGGGTGATTTCTCGCTTTTTGTCTCTCTGTCTCTGACTTTCTGTCAAGCACATGCACCCTATAGCAAAAACGTCTCCAAAAAAAAAAAAAGAAGAAGAAAGAAAGAAAGAAAGAAAGGGCCAGGAATGGCCAGTGTGGACCAAATGCGGGCAGAGGGAGCTATGGTGCAGGGGTGATCAAAGACGTAATCAGATAAACAGACAAGGACCTACAGGATCATGGTTTTTGTCCTAAATGTATTGGGGAGCCCTTTATTGAGAAGGGGATGAGGAGATGGAGAGTGAAAGTGGAACAGAGAGATTGTGTATGTGTGTGTTTTATTGCCATGGTGAAAAGAAGACGTATGTGAACAAGTTGGAGGCTTATGCCATATTTCGACTACAGAAGTTGTGTGGTAAAGCTTGGAAAATGGCAGGTGAAGTGAGTAGAAATAGCAGAGAAGTAGGTTGATTGACAAGTCTCACAGGTAAACCCCACAGGAGCTGATGGTATATTAGACATGGGAGTAGGCCAGAAAGGGGATGTCAAAGATGAGCTCTAATTTCTTCAATCAGTGGAAGGATGGTGGTCCCATAACTCCTTTGGGGGAGGACCAGGATTTTTGTGGTAGAGATAATGAGTTTGGTTGAGATGTGTTAAATTTGAGGTTCCTTTGAGTTCATTAACGGATACTGAGTAAGGGTTACTGGTTAAAACTTAGAAGAGAGTCCTAGACTGCGGCTATACATGGGAGGTCCTTATGTACAGAGGGGCATACAAGCAGAGATACAATGGTCTAGAAAGAGACTAGGGAGCATAAAAAAGGGGGGCCTTGAACCAAGAGCTGTGGAACTCTAGGGGACAGGGAGAGAGGGAGACCGGCGTTTTTGATAGATCTTCATCATGTCTTAATCCTGCCCTGGCCTCCCAGGCAGCTAAGACCACAAGTGTGCACCACCCTGCCTGGTCTGTGTAGTTGCCTGGGAAAAAACCTGGGCTTCCCATTGCCACCCAGCCATTACATTGAGGCTCCTAACTGCCACCGTGGCTGGGCCTGAACTCCACTTTTTAAAGGTTAGGGGCCAGCAGGTAGCATGGTGGTTAAGATGGTGGACTCCCATATGGCCAATCGAGGTTTGAGTCTCGGACCTGATAGCTTGAAAATCATGCCAGGTGCATGTGCGTGCATGCCCACAATCCCAGGAAAAGAATGCAGAAGAAGGGTTGGCCCTTTGGGGTCGATTTCTCACTTTCCTTCTCCCTGTCTCTCTCTAGCAAACATATGTGCTATATGGCAAAAACCTTGAAAAAAAAAAAAGAGCAGTTTAAGGAGTATACAAGAGGACTTCAAAAAGCTCGTGGAAAATGGAATTGAAGTACAAGTTTGTTTTCATGCAAAAAAAAGTTAAAATCCATGTATAGTTTTCTCATACTATGTGTTTTCCATGAAATTATTTTTATTGCCAGAGGGCGTGTGTGTTCACCTGAGAGAGAGAGAGAGAGAGAGAGAGAGAGAGAAGGAAGAGGAAGAGAGAAAGCATCCCCCAGTGAAGTGTGACCACACTATAATCCCTTCTGCTCCAGTATTTTAAAAATTATTTATTATTATTATTTTTGAAATTTGCTATAGGACATATGTGATCACCAGAGAGAGATGAGAGAGACAGAGACAGAGAGAGAGAGAGAGAGAGAGAGAGAGAGAGAGAGAGAAGTTAAGTGAAAAAACAAGCCACCAGGTCTGGGACTCAAAATGTAGTTGGCCAATCTGGGAGTCTAGTGCCTTAACCACTGTGCCACCTGCTATCCCCCCTTCTGCCCCATTTTTTACATCCTTTTGGGATTTGGGGCATGTTTGCTCATGTGCCCAGCATGTTTTTTTCAAGCTTCTGGGGACAAGATCTGAGCCACGGCTGGCCAATTGGGATTTGGCTCCCTAAATGGTTAGGGCTCAGGGTTAGCCCTTCCATGAACTTTCTGAAGATACTTCCCACTTTGTCTCCCTTTGAGATACTTTAGTTTTATTATATATATATGGCTCTGTGTGATTGAGGCAGCTGGATTCTATTGACACATGGCTGACCTCCGCGGTTTAAGTCCTGGACCTGGCAACTTGAGAAACATGCTAATCACATGTAGGTGCATGCCCAAAGTCTTGGAAGGAGGCAAAGATGGAGGAGAAGGTATTGTGACATGAATATTCCCTGCCCGAGGATGCTTTCTCCCCTCCCTCTCTCTCTTAGCTCTCTGATTAGTGTACACAACCTTAAGCCTTAAAGGAAAGAAAAAATCTATTCCCAGATTAGAGAGTTAGGTTTTTATTTCTTTATAAGTTTTCTGGCTAAATTTCATGATTTTGAATGGTATGAATTTTTTTAATGAGAAATTTTTTTTTCTTTTTTTTGGGACAGGTTTTCGCTATAGGGCGTGTGTGCTTGCCAGAAAGACAGAGAGAGAGAGAAAGCAAGCAAGAAAATGTGCTTGGCATCTGTTTTGAACCACTGGATCTGGGAATTGAACTGTGCAGTTGGCCTTGTGGGATTCAGCCTCTTCAACCATCAAGCCATCGGCTAGTCCCTATGTTCTGTTTTCATAGCTACTCAGTCTTCCTTAGTATCTTTATGTTCCAGAGTGTTTCTCTAAGTACTAGAATTTGTGCTTGTTTCTCTAGGACTTCTGATTTCTCCCTCCGTAGTTTGAAGTCTGAAGACTGTTTAGTGTTATATTCAGTATGATAAATCCTCTCCTTTCCTAACTTTTATAGATACAACTATGTGCCATTGTTTTGAACCATTAAGAGCAAGATATCGTGATAACATTTCAAGAAGCATTTGTGAGATGTATTTGAAGAGTTATAAATTTGTTCACAACTTTTAGTCTAATTAACTACCTTTAAGAATTTGTCAAATGAAAATGATTAACGTTGTCTTTTCTCACTTAATATAAAAAATAAATAATATATAAAAATAATTTATATAAAAAATTAAATTTAAAACACTAAATACCCGGGGCCAGCAGGTGGCTTAGTGATTAAGGCACTGGATTCCCACATGGTCGACCGTGGTTCGAGTCCCAGAACCGACAGCTTGAAAGTCACACCTGGTGCACGTGTGTGCATGTGCTCACAATCCTAGGAGGAGAATGGAGGAAAAGGGATTGAGACGTGCCATCCTCCGTGGAGGTGGGGAGTGACTTCTCACTTTCTGACTTTCTGTCTCTCTGTCTCTCTCCAGCAAGAGCACACACCCTGTGGCAAAAACCTTAAAAGATAAAAGTAAATAAGTATCCAGCTTAGACAAGTTATTAAATAATATTTTGAAGATAAGCCTTGTAGAGTAATGTCTATATATTAAAATTATGAACTTGAATACAATAGAGTCCCCCATACCTAGTGGATATCCCCAACAGCAGATAGTACCAAACCCTACACACACACACACACACACACACACACACACACACACACATATAATGATTTTGCTAGAGGGTGTGTACTCTTGCCAGAAAGAGGCAAGGAAAGTGAAAAAGCACCTCCCTGGGGAATGGTTACACCACTATCCCTTTTCTTCCACTTTTCCTTCTTTTTGACACCTAGTGTGTTTCTCAAGCTGCCAGATCTGGGACTCAAACCATGCAGCTGTGTGTGTGGGATCCAGCTGTCTTAACCCCCATGCCACTGGCTGGCCCTTTACTGTTTTTTGGATCTGATAACTGAGACATCTACTAAATGATTAATGGGCTGAAAATGTATACAGCTTGGATACACCAGGCAAAGGGATGATTCCTGTCTTTGGTAGGATGGAGGGGGGTGACGGCATGAATTTCTTCATGCCACTCAGAATAGTGTACCATTTAATTTTTATAAATTACTTACTTCTGGGATTTTTCATTTAATATTAAACAAAATTTCTTTTTGCTATGGTGTGGTCACCAGAAAGACAGAGAGAGAGAGAGAGAGAGAGAGAAAGTGAGAAATCACCCCCTGGGGGGGATAGCCACGCTGCAATCCCTTCTCCTCCATTCTCCTCTTGGGATCTTGGGCATGCATGTACACACGCCTGGCGTGCATTTAAGCCACTGGGTCCGGGACTCGAACCACGGTCGACTACATGGGAGTCCAGCGACATAGCCATTATGCTAACTGCTGGCCCCATCTATTTAATATTTTTGAGCAGGGTAACAAAATATTAAAAGGAAAACCACAGGTAAAGGGGGACTACTATACTATAGGACAACATAAAAAACTGTTTTATACTCAAAGATGTTAATTAAGATTTTAAAAAATTTCCACTGTTTATAATTTCATCAGTTATAAGTTCGTGTGGGTGATGACTAGACAGGAAAACACAAACATGAAACATTAGGTGGGATTATAGAGGTATTTCACTTTAAAACATTTCTTACTGTGTTATCCTATTCGAGTATTGAGACAAATATAGAAGAGTTCAAAATCGACTCAGGTTTTATCAGCCAGTGATTTCTTTTTTGTTAAATGGGTGTGGGTATATTGTCACAATTACTTGATTATTCCACAGCACTAGAAACTATTATTTGCACGTGGTTATTTCAGACATCGAGTCATACTTAGTTAGCTCAGAAGCCAAAGTGGAACTTGGAGAGTTGGAAGGTCTTGCTTTGGAAGCGATGCAGAGAGTGTGTGAGCCACAGTTTACATTTCACGCCGGTTGCCTCTTCTTTCCTTTCTGCAGTCCACGTACTTCTGGTTGGCCAAGATGTATCTGTGCTTTACTGCTGGGATTCGAAGCTGAATCAGTTCTCTTTTGTTCTGGAAGCACCTTCTGCTCGTAATGCAGCTTCTGTTGCAGTCAAGTCCCTTAATTCAAGCAAGAATTTCATTGCTTTAGCAGAAGCTGCCCACTCACATATATATGAGCTGGTCTACATCTCCAGCCAGTCCGACTTTATTCCGAGGTAGGTTCAGCATTTTATGCTGTGTCTTTATGCTGACCTTGATTTTTTATAGTACCTAATTTCTCAGTGTTTATTTAGCAGCTGACAAATATGCAAATTGTAAGAGCTATTTGTAAGTCAGAACTTATCATTTATATTTCTAATATTTACTCTATCAAGTTAATCAGTATGTATCACTATTTTGGATTTTTTTTTATATGTATGAAGTGTTGTAATTCTTCCAAACCTTTAATATTAATTAATGCAATGAGAATTTCTTTCCTGAGTAATCTAGTATGTGTATATATCTTAAGTTTTCATAGTTGACTTATGTATCCTTCTTATGCCAGTTCAGGTGAATTGATATTTGGACCTGGTGACAGAGAAGCAATAATAGCAGTAAATATCCTTGATGATATAGTTCCAGAGGAAAATGAATCCTTCAAAGTTCAGCTTAAAAATCCCAAAGGAGGCGCAGAGATTGGTCTTAACAGCTATGTGAAAATAACTATTCTGTCTAATGATAATGCCTATGGAGTGATTGCGTTTGCTCAGGTAAGGATAGGGAAGACCCCACGCTTGTAAGGCGAAATAATTTATTCACTGTATTTACGTATTAGCTGGGATCAGCACTCACTGAGTTATACGTGGAGTGTCGTCAGCCATCCTTTCCTGTTGTGCCCAGGACCCTGCATTCTAAGGTGAAGTCTACTGACATCTGGCAACTTATAGTCTTGTGTGCTAGACTCCATTGGTCCAGGAGTTTGACTATGCTGTTAGCCTTGTTATCGGAGGGCAGTGATGAAAAAGATTCTCAGCTCGCTCACACTCTGTTCATTCATGCAGCAGTCTTTTTTTTTATTATTATTTTTAATAGCATTATACCAATGAGAGAGAGAGCGAGAGAAAGACACACACACTGCCAGGGTCTCATGCTGTTGTCTGCATTCCCCAGCCTCTTGTCTTCCAGGATCTGGGAACCACTGGTTTCCTCCCTCCCTTCAAGTCTCTGCTGAAATGACGCCTTACCAGAAAGGCCTTCCCAAAGTGAAAATTACAGCTCCCCACCATCATTCCATCTTCATAGTTCACCTTTTCTTCCTATGGCACTTCTAATTGCCTGACTGGTCCATTGTCAGGTTCTTTCATTAGCCCTGGAGTGTCTGAGAGGGCTGGGATACTGCTTTGTTAACAGCTTGATTCGTGCACCTAGGTGCCTGGCACATCCTAACTGCTTGAAATGGGCCTCTCTTTTTCTTCCTTCAAGTCTTTCTCAAGATAATCCTCTGGTGTGGTTGCTCTTTTGCAATACAGAATACTTGGTGGGCAGGGCTGAATTGAGAAGGATTATGTGTGACTAGTGTGCTGGGCATTTGCTTTTCAACAATTTGAGTAGACATGTAAATATTTTCTCAAAATTATTTAAAACCATACTGTTTCTGCTATTATAGCGTCATAAGCAAAATTACACAAAATTATAAGAAATATTTTGAACATTATCTTTAAAATTCAGTATTTTGAAATTTTGAAAGTTCATTAGCTGTCAAGAACTATGGAGTATGAGCAAAAAAAGTTGTTTTTTTTGCGGGGGAGAGGCTTTTGCTATAGGGCACGTGCGCTCCACAGACAGAGTCAGAGAGACAGAAAGCAAGAAGTCATCCCTCCAGGGGGCATGGCCACGCCGCAATCCCTTCTCCTCTATTCTCTCGGGATCTTGGGCATGCATATGCGCCTGGCGTGAGTTTCAAGCCACCGGGTCTGGGATGTGAACCACGGTCGACTACATGGGAGTCCAGCGACATAGCCATTACGCTAACTGCTGGTCCCCAGAAAGAGTTTTTTGATATGTGAATTAAATATTTGTGGAAAAACGTAAAAATAAATAAATAAATAAATTAATTAATTAAAAAAAAATGGGCCTCTCATTGTGCAGCAGAAGAAAGACAACCCTCATGTGGTCTTCCCAGTATCTCATATGAGGAGACAGGGCAGAGCTGGGGTTGCTGGGCTGGAGCCAACACAGTCTGCTGCTGGGGGTTTCCTCTTCTTCCCTTGAACCTTGCTGCAGCTGTTCCTCAGCCAGATAAGCATGGTAGACTTGTGTCTATGAAGTTGGTTTCAACATTATTCTAGGAACATATAAAATCACTGGGGTGTAATTCTTGTTGACAGCTAATTTTTTGAGTTCCTTCAAGTCAGCCAGTAAGTTCTTCAATCCAGGTGTCTTGTGGCTGGACACCCTTATTCCAGGGTGAGATTTAGTAGCTAATGAGAATTTCTTGAATGCTTCTGGATGCATTGCATCGTCATTTTACTAACCCTCAATAATGGATGGCATGGAGCCAAAGGGAGGCTTCTGTTTTAAAAGGCACTAACTACCTTTTGTGCAGAAATTACATGCATATTTTAAAATCAAGGCATTTTTCTTCAGCAGTGTTTGATTGCCTTGAGCAAAATTTTATTAATATGTAACATCTGTAACAATGTGTTAAAATGCTGTATAAAATATCACCATAGGATAGGATCTGTACTCGAATTAGCATTTGAAATAGAAGCTTTCATAAGCTTTAAGAAATTAAGCGGGAGTCTCATTTCAGATAACCATAGTCAAAAGACAAGAAAAATGTTATTGGAAAGATGAAAAAAAAAGTTTATGCTCTATGTTCTTACTTTATTATGTATCAAGAAACCGGGGGTGTGGTAATAAGGGGTTCTTAGAAGTACTGATTTTGAGGAACAGTTCATGAAATGGCTGGCCGGAGATGTTCATGGGTTTGATGAAGGGTGTTGCGGTTGTGCCAAGGTTGACATTAAATGGGAGAAAAGGAAAGAGGCTTAGGAGGTGTAGATGGAAAAAAATCAGGAATTTTAACATAAGGGCAGGGATATCGCTGGCAGAAAAGACAATTGGAGAGACTTTGAGCTGAGGCTGAAATACCATCAGTGGAAACTGGCTAGCCTCTGGAAACATTTCAGAGTGTATGAGCCTAAGGGTAGGAGACATGTGCACATGATCAGAAAGAGTACCCGAATTCTCATGACATCGGTATACCAGGACAGGACGCTGGAGACTGTGCGGGTCAAATGTTTATTTAACAAATAGGAAGCAGAGACCTGGAGGAATTTCCAGATGTTCCACAGGGGGACAATGCTTCCTATTCTGCCTTCTGTCCTTTCCCCTCTGCAAACCTTTTATATGCTATGAGTACTACTTTTTAAAAAGCATACCCTTTCTGAGCATAAAAATAATGTATGTTTATTGAGAAAAATTTGAAAAATGTAGAAATATGAAAGCAAAAGTTAAAATAATCCTACAAAAATGAATGTTTCTGGATAAGCAGGTGATGTGGAGATTAAGGTAGCTGGATCCCACATGGCTGACTGCATGGTTTGAATCCTGGCCCCAGCAGCTTGAAAATCACACTGGGCACATGTGCATGTATGCTTAAATTCCTGAGAGGAGAATGAAGGAAAAGAGATTGTGGTGTGGCCATCCCCCCCTTGGGGTGATCTCATTTTCTCTTTCTGTCTCTCAGTATCTGGAGAGTGTACACATCATATAGCAAATTAAGAAAAGAAGTTAATGTTTCTATTTACTTTACCTTAGTCTTCTTTACTTATTCAAACATGCATGTTTTAAAATAAAATCATGGTCATTCCATATTACTGCTTTTTAACTGCTGTTTTTCACTTTTTGTATCATGGCACTTAGTTCTGTGAAGTTCATGAAGGCATCATAATGTGGAATAGAAAAAGCCTGCTTAGGTAATTTCAGGTACTCTCTTGTGACTTTCCGTGTGTTTTTCAGAATTCATTATTTAAGCAAGTGGAAGAAATGGACCAAGATAATCTAGTAACTTTGAATGTTGAGCGCTTGAAAGGAACATACGGTCGTATAACTGTAGCGTGGGAAGCTGATGGAAGTATTAGTGATATATTTCCTACCTCTGGAGTGGTATGTAATTCTCAAAATGATGGGAGACACTTTTCAATTATGGTTACTATTGATGTATGGGACCAAACCCTGCCTTACGGAGGAAGTGTTTGAGTTTGACAATGTCAACACTGGAGTCCCGCTAATCACCATAGAGAGGGGTACAGTTAAGGTTAGCTTTGATTGTTGTGGTTATTGTTCTTCTTTTTAAAATTTATAAAACCAAACTATCTATAAAAAGAGGCATCCCTTTGAGATTCAGCACATCAGTTACCAAATTGTGAGTGTCTTACATTGTCAGAAAGATAAAACCATAAAATCAAATTGGAGATGAAAACACAGTTTTAATATTTAAGTAAAATGGAAGCAGAAAGTAAGGAATACATCTGTGTAAAACAGCCAGACTTATTAAAAAGAAAAGTAGATCAGTGTTACCAAGTGATGTACACTGAGTTTTCTGTTTTTTGTCTACTTGTTTTATTAGTTTAGGTTTTAGACATTATTACCTTTTTCTTTTTCGTAAAGATCTTTTTCTTTTTCTTTTTTTAAGAGGTTTTTGCCTTAAGGCATGTGCACTCGCTGGAGAGAGAGACAGTGAGAGGGAAAGTGAAAAATCACCCCTCATGGGGATGACCACGCTGCAATCCCTTCTCTTTCATTCTCTCCCTAGGATCTTGGGCATGTGCGCACGTGCGCCTGGCACGAGTTTCAAGCCTCCAGTTCCAGTACTCGAACTGTGGTCCACCATGTGGGAGTCCAGCGATGGAACTTCTATGCCATCTGCTGGTCCCATATTCTTCTACTTTTAATAGGAAAGCCATATGATTTATTTATAGAACCATGTTATGTTGCATGAATATCTCTTGTTATTGAAGTTGTAGCTGTCTTAGAAGAAAAGTCAAACTTTAGAATTTTTGCTACACACTAATTATAAAATAAATGTAATCTTTTGTCTTTAAAATTTTAGATTTCATTTACTGAGGGCCAGGCACTGTCTACAATCACTCTGACTGTTCTTGCTGATGATCTCCCGGAGTTATCAGAGGTTGTGGTCGTATCCCTCACCCGTGTTACCACAGACGGGGTTGAGGACCCGTCCAAAGGTGCTTCTATTGATCAGAAGAGAAACAAGTCTGTGATCACTACTCTGCCCAGTGACTCGCCCCATGGCTTGGTGGGCTGGCATGTTGAATCTCTGTTCATCAGCGTAGCAGAGCCTAAAGGTAAATCCTGTTACATACTTTTCAGGATCTAGAAAGTCATTTCACTGGATAAGTTCATTCTGCTATTTACAGGAAATGTACATTTCTTGTTTTATATGACTTTTTCGTTTGATAGTTACATTTGATCCTTTTGCTTTTTGTGTAGATTTATTAATTTATAAGTTCATGTAACTACTTAGCAATAACACTGTAAGACATACTTTTTATTTTTAGTTTATTGTATTTTTTTAGGTTTTTGCCGTAGTGTGCATGTGCTTGCCAGAGAGAGGGAAAGTGAGAAATCAACTTCCCCCTCTTCCCCCACCCCTGAGAGAGGATGGCCACATCACAATCCCTTGTCCTCCATCCTCCTCTCAGGATTTTGGGCACGTACACACATGTGCCTGGTGTGATTTTCAAGATTTCAGGTCCAGGACTCAAACCATAGTCCGCGATGTGGGAGTCCAGTGCTTCACCTGCCATGTTAAGTGCTGGCCCCATACTTGTACTTTTTAGATAAAACCATCACATAAAAATATTAGTACTTTAGTAAGACATTGCAGTTGAGGTGAACAGTTTTTATGTTACTTTCCCTTTTCCATAATTTTTTATTTGTTCTTTTTCTTCATTCAGATCTTCTCTATGTAGATTTTCAATAGTTACATGGAACGGTCGACAACACAGTGAAATGCACATGTTATTCAAGTTATTAACCATTTAACCCTACACAGTATATTTAGAGTAATTTTTCCTGTAAAGAGTACAGTAATCAATCCCTTGAGTGTTAAAATCTTCACCTAAATAACTCTTCCTACATCTGTGGGATAAATAAACTTTTGTAGCTAAAATCATTTGATTCATTTATGTAAAAGGTTATATAAGGGGACTTCAAAAAATTTGTAAAAATGGAATTAAAGTATGACATTATTTTGGTGCAATTTTTGAAATCCATGCATTTTTTTTTCCATAACATACATTTCCCCAGAACTCTTTGAAGACACCCTAATATGTAATAAACAGGTATTTAGAATATAATAACTGAAAGTTCTAAAAATTTTTAGATAAAATTATCGACAGCCAGGTTTCAAGAATGTTTTCTTAAAAAAAAATGTAAAAGAAGATGACATGTTGTAAAAAAACAAAATCCATGTGAATAAAATGACATACTGTTATGCTCCTGGACCTTTTATCTTCTTATGTATGGGAACAGAGCAATTAACTTATAACAATATTGTCTATTTATTTTTTTATTCAACAAACATTTTTGAAACAGTAAGTGCCAAGAACTTTGCTGTGTATTCTGGAAATAAAGACGGACTCTTTGGTAATTAGGAACTTAACAGTCCAGGAGGAGAGGTGGATGGGCACTATATATATATATATTATCTTTCATTTCATTTTGTAGACTAAACTTTTAAAAAGGATCTAGGAGATTTAATGAAAAATAGATGCTGTAACCACTCTTCGATAATCAGCTACTAATTGGTGACTGTGTGTATGTAATTTTCCCTTTTCAAAGACTCTTGTGAGCATTTGTAATTAGCACCTGCTCAACCTGCATCACATTCTTAATGGTTCCAAGAATTTCCACTAACTTGTATGGCATGTGCTATGTAAGAGGATGAGAACCAGCAGTGAGGGATTAGAATGTAATATACAGCTAGCGGTGGATGGGAATTCTTAGTACCACTCTGTAGGTGAGGGAGACAAAGCATAGTGTAATTCATGGAAGTATATATTGGCTTTGTTTTACCTCTATTTTCTTTTTTTAAAAATAATTATTTATTTTATTTATTATTATTTATTTTGACCAGAGAGAGACAGAGAAACAGAGAGAGAAAGTGAGAAAGAAAGGTGCCGGGTCTGGGACTTGAACTGTGGTCCAGTGCCTTAATCACCACACTACCTGCCGACCCCTTACCTCTATTTTCTTAACCATCTAAAAGGCATAGTGCAGAGCATTCCACATAAGTGCTTGGAACAGTGACAGTTGACAGAAAAACTTATTCACTTGAGGTATGTTTATCTCACAGAGAACATCACCATTCTTCAGTTACAAATTGTTCGCGATAAAGGACTACTTGGGGACATTGCCATTCACTTGATAGCTAAACCCAATTCCTTATTGCATGCCAATAATCAAGCTACTGAGGGTGAAGATTATGTGCTGCAAGAAACAATAATAATAATGAAAGAAAACATAAAAGAAACTCATGCTAAGGTTGCCATTTTGCCGGTAAGTCTAGGCTACAATAAAGATAATGTAAAATGCTCTTGAAGGTAAAATTTTGATGCTCTTACAGGGAAAACAGGGAAAAATCTTTTTTGTTTTTTAATATTTATTTATTTAATTTCATTTGTTATTGCTATTGTTATTATTTTTTAATTTAACCAGAGAGAGACAGAGAGAGAAAGGGTCCAGGTCCAGGACTTGAACCATGGTTGGTCATGTGTGAATCCAGCACCTTTAACCACAATGCCACCTGCCGGCCCCAGGAAACATCTTTTTTAAAGGATATCTTAACCATAAAAATGTGAGTATCCTAATTTTCTCATCCATCTAAATAGTAAGATTGAATAAATGTGTTATAATCAGTAGGCAGAAATGACAAATATATTATATATATTTACTTTTTAACTTGAATATTATTTGAACTTTGAAGCATTGAGTTTAGATTGATTATGTGTCCTATTGTGTTTTCTGTTATGTTGGTTGGTTGTTTTAAGCCAGCCATTGTTATTGTTGGTTTGATAGGACAATGTTTTTATTTTATATCATTATTTGAATCAAGATTAGTCTTCAGATGGTTTTGAACTGGTTTAGCTGTCTATATCAATGTCTGTATCAATATACCATCTATATCCTTATTATGTCTATCTATCTATCTATATAAAGAGAGAGAAGGGGGCAGGCAGCAGGTAGTATGGTAGTTAAGGTGCGGGACTCCCACATGGCCGACCTTGGTTAGATACCTGGACCTGGTGGCTTTCTTTCTCATTTTCTCTCTATCTCTGTCTCTGGTAAGAGCATATAGCCTATAGCAAATTGAATAAATAAATAAATAAATAGATACAATTAAATAAATAATTCTTAAAAGGAAGAGAGATGGAGAGATAATATGGGGATGCATCTGCAATGGTACATAAGAAAGAAACTGAGTGTAGTAGTAATGGTGTTAGTGTTATTAATAATATTATGTAGTAAGTATCAAATATTGTGTTGTTTATATTACATAAATAACATTATAGCATTAATATTATACAATAAATGCCATAAAGTACTTTATGAAATAACTATGATATTATAATGTTAGTGTTACTAATGGTGGTATTCGTAGTATTAGGTAATAAGATCTTCTGGAGAGAACAATTGGAGATAGACATAAGTGATAGGATGGAAAGGAGGTTTCCTCTCCTTTTCTTTTCCTTTTTTTTTTTTTTTTTCTATTTTTCTCTTTAATTTCTGCTGTTGGCATCTTTGCTGGGTGGAGAGAGAGTGTGAGAGGGAAAGTAAGAAAGCATCCTGCAGGGAGGATGGCCACACCACAATCTCTTCTCCCCCATTCTCCTGTTGAGGTTTTGAGCACACACACACACGTGCCTGGTGTGATTTTTTTTCAGGCTCCCACTTCAGGACTCAAACTGCTCAGTCAGCTCCATGGGATCCCATGCCTTAAGCTTCGTGCCACTTGCTGGCCCCCTCTTCTTCTTTTCAATATGTATTCTTTGTATCTTTTGAAATTTTTTTATTCAAAATATTAACTAAAGTATAGGCTTACAAATCTAGAGCTTTCATTTTTAAAGTAGATGTAGCATTTCCCAGTTTCTCCAAATTTTCAATTGGTATATTGTTCATATAAGGTACCTTTTATAGAATATAGTCAATCTTTTTTTTTTCTTTGCTAATGAGGGTTCCATTGAAACGTCACTAATTTTGAGTATCTCATAGATTCTGAAATTGTCAGTAGAAAATACTAAAATACAACAAGCAATCTTTCTTATGTGTGATAAAGTTGCTCATTCCTGTGGACAAGGTCCGTTGTTCTCTACTGAAAATTAGCAAATTTCCAACACAAATGATAAAACTAAACTGGAATAACAGTGGTATGGTGGTTAAAGCAGCTGGATCCCTCATGGCCAAAGTATACCCAGTTTGAATCCTGAACCTGGTGACTTCAGACACATGCTGGGAGCATGTGCGTGTGTGTGCGCATGTGTGTGTGTCCAAAATCTGGAAAGGAGGGAGAAAGGGTTGCAGCATGACTGGAAAGGAGGGAGAAAGGGAGGAGAAGGGGTTGCAGCATGACTATCTTTCATGGGAGGTGCTCTCTCACTCCCTACCCCATTTTCCTCTCTCTCTCTGATGAGTGCACACACCCTTTGGCAAATCAATCAGTCAATTAGTTATCAACAAAGTCACCATTTCTTTCCCCCAGGATGATGTTCCTGAGCTGGAGGAAGGATTTATTGTCTCTATCACTGAGGTGAACCTGGTGAAATCAGACTTCTCCTCAGGACAGCCAAGTATGAGGAAGCCCGGAATGGAAAACGCTGAGATCATGATTGAAGAAAATGATGATCCCAGAGGAATTTTTATGTTTCGTGTTACCAGAGTGAGATGAATTTTCATGTATTCATAGTAATCGAGAAGCTGTTTCTGCTGATTTGGCCAGTGTTTTTATATTTTCTGCAAAATATTTGGTTTTGCCCGTAGATATTTATAAATAGATAAGTAACCAACTTTGTCTTAGAAATGAATTCTTAGTTCTCTTTGAGCTAGACCAGTGGGCTGAGCAAGTTTATTTTCATTAGATGTAAATTGAAGGGTTCTGAAGACCCATCATGTATGACAACTACTAATTTTTACTGGGAAGGTTGAAGTAAAAGAAATAGGAACAGAAACAATCCATTTAGAACATGATGGCTTAGGAGAGTTACATTTGTCTTGCCTTTCAATTTCTGTTTTTTACTTAAAGGATGTCGGTGGAGTTATTACTGCCTATGAGGTGCCGCCGCACTTAAACGTTCTTCAGGTGCCTGTCGTCCGGCTGGCTGGAAGCTTTGGAGCGGTACATGTTTACTGGAAAGCGACCCCAGGCAGTGCTGGCCTGGAAGACTTTAAGCCGTCTTATGGGATTCTTGAATTTGCAGATGGACAAGTATGGTAGTCCTTTATATATTAGCTTTTTGTTGTTGTTGTTCTTGTTCTTTAAACATCTTATAGCATCAATCAAATGAATGTGGATTCATAACTACTATGTGTATTAGATTCTAAATGCTTCTGTATCAAATCAAGTGAAAATATGAATTAATGTGTAATTTATTAACGGGCATAGGAAGATTGTTAAGAGGTAGAATTTTGTCTTTTTCCGAACTTCCTCCCCTGATTCTATTTAAAATAGAGATGATGAAATAAGATCGTAATGGGCTTAGGTGCCTAGTGATGTATTAAAACTGTTGAACTAGATGATCCCTGTGAATTTCCATTTATTTATTCAGTTAATTAACACAGGCGCAGGTATTTATTTAGAATTTGCACTAAGAATGTGCACATTTATTACTTTATATCTAATGCTTCCTTTTAAAAAAGACTAAAATGATAAAAAAGGAGTAGAATAGTTAACACTTGAAAAACTGAAAAAAAATATTCTGGATTTAGGCCAACCAATCATAAAAATGATAAAATCTTCCTGAAGAGTTATAAGTTTTGTAAGCTACGCATTTCGTAATAGATAAGAATTAAATATTTTAATAAAATGTTTCATTGGTAAGTGGAAAAGTCACGTGAACAATCTTGAAAATGTCAGTAACTTCAAATAGCAGTGTCTGCCTACAGGTAGCCCAATTTTACCCTGACAAATTTGTGTATTATATATTAACTTACTAGTTACCCCCAAGGTGGTAAATGCTGCTAAAAGAAAGATAAGCATAAGGTCTTGGGACCAGCAGTTAGCGTAATGGCTCTATCACTGGACTCCCATGTAGTTGACTGCGGTTTGAGTCCTGGACCCGGTGGCTTAAAACTCACGCCGGGCACGTGTGCGTGTGTGCCCAAGATCCCGAGAGGAGAATAGAGCAGAAGAGATTGTGTCATGGCCACCCCTAGAGGAGGGTGATTTCTCGCTCTCTGTCTCTCTGTCTCTCTCTGTCTGGCGAGCACACGCACCCTATAGCAATAAATAAATAAATAAATAAATAAATAAAGGTCTAGATTTTTCTCCAGATAAAAGCTTGTTATTGTTAATATATATTAATTTTTCCCATGACGAGAGAAATGGGGGTGGGAAGGGAGAGGGAGGGACTCCCAAAAGAGTCTTTGTGCCATGATCCGTCTCCAGCTTCATCCAGCCCCAGATCGTGGACCGTGTGCCTGGTGTGTTTAGGGAGATCTATGGAGATGAGCTCAGAACCTTACATATGGGTCACCCTCATGGAGTGTTCCTTTACCGCTACACCACCACTTGGTCCCTATTGTTAATATTTTTGCAATCATGAGTTTTTTTGTTTGTTTGTTTGTTGTTGTTTTGGAGAGATATTTTGCTATACAGTGCAAGCATTTGCCAGAGACACAGGGAGAGAAAGTGAGAAATCACTCCCCTCCCCCATACCCCAGGGGGGAGATGGCCATGTTGCAACCCCTTGTCCTCCGGTCTGTTGGGATAAGAATAAGGATTTCTTTTTGTGTGTGTGTCTATAAGTAATGCTCTATTTTCTTGCATATATATTGTTCTTTATCTTGAAACTAGTAGAATTTATTATGAATTTCTGACTTTGAAATACTGACAAATACATGATTTTAAAAGTATCTTGAATATAAGAAGCAGGAAAAAAACTGTTATGTTTCCAAATTTCAACCAAAAAAGTAAAATATATATAAGTTAAATTATTGTATCCCTGTTTTCCTCCTCCCGCCCCTCCTCGCTTTCCTCCTGCACTTCCTTCCTTTCGTCCTTCCTCCCTTTCATAGGCCACTGCCATGGTGGAACTCACCATAATTGATGACACTGAGTTCGAACTCATGGAAATGTTTAATATTTCCTTAATTGGCGTGTCTGGAGGTGCCAGCCTTGGCGATGATGTTGTGGTGACTGTTGTTATTCCACAAAATGACTCTCCGTTTGGAGTATTTGGATTTGAAGAAAAGACTGTAAGTTACATGTATCAAGGGAAGTACTTTGCCTCGAAGCTCACTTTCTAGCATAACTTTCAGTAGAAAGGTGACTTTTATTTTTGGTTTGAAACTCTTCATTGCCCTTCACTTTTGAGTCTCTTAAGAGTCTTTTTGAGTTGTCTATTGCACCAGTGGCCAGTCTGGTAGAATGAGAGCTGCTCACACCAGGCAGGTGCAAAAGGGAACAGATTTCCTGTTTATTGAGTGTAGAAGGCCAACATGTACTTTTTGTCCACTCCTTGTGATTCTCTGCCTGTCCTGTTGTCAGGGCACCATCCTGGTCACAGGCAGGATTCTGCCAGAGTCTGGGTGTTGGGCACCAGGGTGGATTTAGCTAGTGAGGGATTTTTCTGTTACGCCCTCTTCTCATACTCTTTGCTGACTTACATTGGTCAAAACTCCACATCACCCTCAGATGACACCCTTTATGTTTCTCCTCTCTTGTTTCTCGTTGGGTGTTTACCCCCAAGACAGGGGGAGTCCAGTTTTTATTAGTTCAACCACTATCTCATCTGCTGGTCTCCAGACATCTGCTCTTGGTGCCAGTGAAAAATATCACAGACAAAAACCAAGATAAGATGGTGTTGCGTATTTGTTAAGCTTCTGTTCTGAACGTGGGAAATGTTGGGTTATACTTTGTACATATGTAATAGTGCATATCAAAAGTTCGATTTGGACTTTGCTTCACAGAGCCTACTTAGGTAATTCACTTGAAGCAGGTCTCTTAATGAGGACTTACATGAAAAATTGGACTTAGATAAAAAATTGGCCTGACTGCAGAGGCACAGTGGTGGTGGACTGTCTGCAGTGCTGGAAGCCATGCAGAAGATCAGGGCTCAGTTTCTGGGTCAGCTTGTACATGCGGGGTACACGTGTGTCTGATCTTTCTGGGTGGGAAGGCTGCTGGCGGGTTGTGGTGTGAGACCCTTTTGAAGGTGCGTGTCTTTTTTTCTCTCATGAAAATAAGTCAACTTTAAAAAAGGTAAACATTTCTTTAAAGTAAAAAATAAAATACTGGTAAATTATACGTACACATTTCCATCTCTTTTTGAATCAGGTTAATAAAGCTTCTTTCACTTATTGGAGTTGGTGAACTGCAGACGATTGAGAGGATGGTTAGGGCTGGATTGTGTGGGACCCGATTGCCATGATAAGGAGACAGTGAAGGAACTGAGATTTGGCAGACCGTCCTGGGGAGATGTCCATGGGTCTCTGCTGTTCCCGGTGCTTTTGTATACTTACCACATTGTCCTGGAAGGCAGCATATTAATTTGATAAGTTTATTTATACTACTAATTTTTCAGTCATACTGCTTATTTCTTATTCCTGCAAGAGTTATACAGCAGGGCTCCTAGTCGGGTGTCTCCTAGGGACACTTCCTCTCCAACTGGCAGCTCAGGTACCAGACTCCTTCCATCTTGTGGTTCCGTCATCCTCCAGGTCCCCTGACTACTGGGGAAAGAGAGAATGTGGAGCGCGTGGAAGGTGACAGCCAGCATTAGCAGTGTGTAGCACCAAGGAGTTGAGTGTCTGGGTCTAAAAGGAAGTGGAACTTGGTCAAACACTATTTTCTGCCACATGATTGTAACATGCCACAAATATAGTCCTATAAAAATAAAAAGAATGAATAAAGAATAAAGAATAGGAGCTTTTGTTTCTCCTGCCACATTTTTTTCTTTTTCTTTTTCTTTTGGCTTTATTGTGCTTTCTTTCTTTTAGGTAATGGTTGATGAATCCCTTTTGTCTGATGACCCTGATTCGTATGTGACATTGACAGTCGTCCGATCCCCTGGAGGAAAGGGAGCCGTCCAACTTAAATGGACTTTAGAAGAGAAGGCTAAAGATGATCTCAGTCCTTTGAGTGGGACACTTCATTTTGATGAGGTATAGTGAGCCTCAGCCCTGCTGTAATCTTTTAAAAAATATTTGCCTTTTATTTTCTTTTGCATAGCATTACTTATGCATTCATATGATAGCATTCAATATGTCTGCAAACATTATGGGGAAAAAAATCACACATGCCCACGTACACACAAAACCCTGATAGCTAAAATCAAATTCTTTAATTCAGACCTTGCCTCCATCCCACCACTGAAAGTGCCTTTCTCTCATTTTCTCTTCTGAATGAAGGCAAAGTCAATCTATCAGATGGTAGCTGGTTTCATCCCTAGCCCTAGCCCAGTCCTTCCTGCAATCCTTACATATCTTTGGCCACTGAGTGGTCAGTTTTCCTCTGTTAATGAGCCATCTCACTGCTCAGAACTTGTGTATCAGGTAATAATATTATGTACCTTAATAACAGTGTCAGACATAAGACTCTGATTTCTTAAACGTACATGTATATGCTGAAAAATTATTGAGATAGTATTTCAGCCAACCAAAATATCGAACCTAAATAAATGATTTAAGAATGGAAAGCACATTATAATCTATTTGCATGTGTCTTAGCCTCCTGCAATGATAATAAGTACAGTTGAAAGTTTCTCTTTGAGAGAAGACTAACATCTCTTTGCCCATGTAATTGGTTTCTACAATGCCTGAGAATGACTCCTTTCTGAAGTGTTGTAAAGCATTTGTAAATGTGATGTTTATATCCTTCTTACCAGCCTTGAGGACCTTGTCTGGAGTATCGACCAAACCATTCCAGGTTGTGATTTTGCGAGTTCCTGTGTCCGCTCGGTTTCTCCCTTCTCCACCATCCATGGTGAGAGAAGTTGGAGAAGCAGCGTATGGTGCTCAGTTAAGCTGAGCACTGGGTTTCATTATGAATACTCTTAACCCAACCAGGACAAAGTGATATTAGTCCAACTCTCAACTTTCTTTTTCTGGAAGGGACAATGGAGAGGTGGAAGAAGATGGAAGAAGATTGACAAATTCATTCTAAATATATATATGGAAATGCCTAAGGTCAAAATTAGCCAGCAATTCACAAAGAACATGGAAGTTGGCCTTACCTAACCAAATTTCAAACATTATGCAGCTAAAGTAAAGAAAATAGTGTGATATTGGCTGTGAGACAGATAGACCAAAGACAAGAAAATGGAGAGGCCAGATGTATCAACCTGCGTATGGTCTTTGGTTTTACCATCATGTTTGATTCTAAACTTATCTCATATGTTAATAAAGACAAAAGCAGAAGGCAGTGTTTTAAAAAATAGAATAGCAGAAGAACTGATGCATAAATGAAAAAAGATAACCTCACAAAATAAAAATTGATGAGAGGGAAACAACTATTAATAGAGAAAATATTTGAGTTTATAAGACTAAATAATTTAGACAAATGAATTTAGTAGCCTATATAATATGGCTCTAGGAGATATTTAGCAGGTACAGAAAATCTAAACAGATGAGTTTTCACAAATGAATAGAAAAAAATGAAAAGAGCAGAAGCTCTCTAGGTAGTTACGCAAAGGAGTTGCACCAAACATTTAGCTACCAGGTAGTCCCAATGTTCCATGGTTCATATCTGGAATCTATCAGCCTTTCTTTAGAGCTTTCAACACCAAAAATCATAGAAATGAATATTTTTTTTTCCAGTTTTTTTTTTTTTGGGGGGGCGGATTTTTGGTATAGGGCACGTATGCTAGCCAGAAAGACAGAGAAAGAGAGATAGAACGCGAGAAATCACCCCCTGGGGATGGCCATGCCGCAGTCCCTTCTCTTCCATTCTCCTCTCAGGATCTTGGGCACGCACACAGCGTGCCTGGCATGAGTTTTTTAAGCCATCGGGTCTGGGCCTTGAACTGTGGTCAACTGCATGGGAGTCCAGTGACATAGCTGTTATACTAACTGCTGGTCCCTTTTTTTCAGTTTTCTAATAAGTGATTAAGAATTTAATTGGTGATGCCCTCTTGCAATCTGTTTGCCACTGAGATATTCTGTGACCAACCTTGAGGTATTTTGTTTGTTACTTTGATGGCATTAAATCTGAAGCCAAATGTTGCAGTTATATTATCCACTTATTTCTCAGATTCCAATACCTAATAACTAAAGAAACATTTAAGATGCATGTCCTAGCCATGATCTAGAAACTTCTCATCTAGCACAGAAATTTGGAAATGAGTCAAAATAGTTTAAATTTTTTTCTCAGTAGTAATGAGAGTTAATTTTCTGGTCACCAGATTATAGTTGGTAGATCCACTCTCTAAGAGATTAAAAGGGTTCCCTGAACCAGCCATAGCAGCACAGGTGGTTGGGCACCACTGTGGAATTCTGGAGCCATATGGGAAGCCCCGAGGTTTGGACCCAGGTTGATCTGAACTCGCTGGGGCACCCACAGACATGCCTGTGTCCTGGCTGGCTGAGGTCTGTGGGGGGATTGTGACGTGGCAGGATGGTGTTGGTGCTCCCTTTCTTTCTCTCTCTTTTTCATGAAATAAATAAACTTTAAAAATATCTTCTGATTTTAAGCACAAAATCTACATAAAAATGGCAAATAGTCTCATCTTTTCTCTCAACAAATATGACCATCTTGTTTCTGAGTATTTCGTCCAGAGGGAGGGGTTTGTCTCTGTATTTGATCCTTTCCATTTAGGTTTTTGGGTCATCAGCCCGATACATTTCATATACAGCCGCAAGTCTCCAGGACTGGGGAATGCTGTATGGTCTACAGGTGGTAGATACGTCAGCTATTGCAGTAGGCTTTTGCTGGGGAGAAGATTATGAGGTGGAGATGGCGTCAGGAGGCTCTGGAGGGCATCAACACTGAGTAAGGGAAAGAAGCAGGATTGGATAGGGGTGAAGACAAACCATGATGCAGGATTTTTTTTTTTAATTTTTAAAATTTTTATTTTTAATTAATCACTTTATATTCATTCCCTGAGCATTGTCACAGCATACAAAATGTGATTTCCCATCCAGAATATACTGCATAGTGGCTTACTTATGCATGTTATCATCAATAATTTTCCATTTCTAGTTTCATATATATATATATTTTCCCCTATTTCTCACCGTCTGCCATTTCCCACCCTCCTCCCACACTATCTCAGGTGTCTACAGTTGTTTTCCATTCCTTTTTCCCTCCACATTTTGTTGATTCACAAAATATCTTAAATAATCTAACTACTTTCAGTAGCAAGTTCAGCTGGTATTTACGTATCTGTGAATCCATGTCTGACTTTAGGCGTGAAACTCTGAGTAGAATGAATATATTATAAGGTAGCACCTAGCTGATGCTATACAGCTTACTATGGTCATTAAATAGGTATTTTTTTCTTTTCTTTTCTTTTTTTCTTTTTTTTTTTTTTTTCTGAGGTTTTTCCAACAAGCCGAGAGACAGAAAGTGAGAAATCACCCCCCGAGGGAATGGACACACTGCAATCCCTTCTCCTCCATTCTCCTCTCGGGATCTTGGGCACGCACGCACACGCGCCCGACGTGAGTTTAAGCCACCGGGTCCAGGACTTGAACTGCGGTTGACTACTACATGGGAGTTCAGTGACATAGCCATTATGCTAACTGCTGGTCCCAGGAATTTTTTAATATATTTTTTAATTTCAAGGAAAGCAGTTTTAGCTTTAATAAATTAAAACAAAATGCTCAGGAACTTTGCTTAGAATTTAAAGCCAGGAAACTTGCTAGGATTCTGTTCAAAAAGTAGGTACATGAACCTATCGGCAGCTCAAGACAGGACAAAAATTCTTAAAACCGGAAAACAAAGTCTAGAAGAAAATCGGCAAAGTAAACTGATTTTACAGGGCACTATGGTTTGTTTCAGAGAGGGACTAACTCTTCAGACTTGTCCTGAGTTGGAACAAGGGGAGTTTTATGTCCTGTATTGAGTAGTCATTGGTTATAAACCATGCCAAAAAGGATTTGACTACCCTGCAGGAGGGAGTTTTCTTCAGATGAGACAATTTCCAAAATAACTGGACAGGTGAGATCTATTTGTTTTGAAAGCATTCCTAGCAGTCAGGGAATCCCTCCTTTCCTGAGGGGGGACCTTTAGGATGTCTTGTGGACATCAGAGATCTGAATAGGGCCATGCTCAAGGGATGTGTGCTCCAAGAGTGTTCCCACTCTT